TTCGGCATCCAGAATCTACAGAGCTAAATATAGCAACATGTGTAGGCAACTCAGACCTTCAACCAGAATGTCCTGATATTGAGAAAAATTGCTCTATTGATATAATAACCATGCTCCTGAATGATACAATTGCCCACATAATGTTAAGTCTAAGGGGAGTATGATGCACCTTATTTTTTTTATTTTCTTTTTAAACCTGCTGCCTGGGATACCAATGTCTCAGCTCTGAGGCCCACCAAGTCTCTGGCAACAGAGGCTATACCTACCATGATGGCTTCCTGCAGGGACATTGGAGCTTATATGTCCAGAGACAAAGCAATGGACATCTACTTGTGTTCTTGTACTGGGGGCAATTTTGACTGGAGCTTACCCACCAGTCTGGTGGGGTGGGGGGGTTAACTTGGGCTTTTTATGCATCTGAGCTCTGGGCTTTTTATTCCTCTGGGCTTTAAAAGGAGGGGGTGGGGGGGTTGGAGTGAAGTTTCCCCTGTGCTAAGAGTCCATGCTCCATGAAAGTGGTCTCCTAGGTGGTCTGGTGGCCTGCTGAGGTCTGCACAATATCCGTTGCCACCATGGTATGAGGTGTAGAGGAAGATTTTCTTACCTTTTTTGAGGAATTCCAATTAAGCGGTGGAGGCATTAGACACTGGTGGGTTCCAGTATCCCAGCTACAGAAGATCCAAGAATCTGCATTAGTCTTCTTAATGTCAGCCCTGGTGGAAGTGCCAGAACTGTTTAAATTTCATATATTAGTGTTGACCTATATCCTCTAATGTATTATTTATTTGTTTACAATTATCCTCTTATTGGTCATATATTAGCATTAGAACAAAGAAATATATATATTATGGCTTTTGTATAATAGTAACTTTTGGAATCTAATAATAAAGTATAAACTGATCTGTACAGTTGTCACACTTTTCGTTGCATACTAGCCATTTACTTTACATGTAATTCTACATGTCATCTTCATAACAACTTTTATTATGTGAATACATACAGAGAGTTTTATTGGGTGTGCCTTTTATAGCTTATTATGTGTTTATTGTAATGCAATAAAACTGGAATGATAAAAAAACAAAAACAAAGCACAGTCTTGTCAACTTTATATTTTTTACATAATTCATTCAATGTCTAGCTCAAGAATAGTATACTTCCCACAGAGAAGGATTAAGATCCCACAGGGCTCTAGGTAGATTTGGGCCTCACTTTGGATAGTGAATGGGACACACCAATCATGGTTTTAAAGCCTCATTTAAGCCTTGTGTCATAGGCGTCCTCCTATGGCCACTTTATGGTCAGCTGAGGTTTCTCCAGAATAAGGTTGCCCCAGATGTAGGACACCAGAGACCAGGTTCCCATAAACCACAGACAGAGGGAAACATTTGATGAACTTCTGGAGTGAAATCTCCATTCAACGCCTTGACGGTGCTCTCCACAAGCGCACCCTGAATGAGGTGGCCAGTGAGAAGGACAGACAGCCTGATATGCATTCACACCAAACTGACATGCCCTTTTTTACTGACATTACAGCCACACCTCCTATAGCACCATGGAATTTATTTTTCAAAGGAATACTCAATGCACCATAACCACTACAGCTTATTGTTCAACTTAGTGTACAGCTGCTTGGTCTGACCATAGATGTGCAATTAGAGGTTATAAGCAGGGGAGTATCAGAGGGTTTGGCCACACTGTGAGCCCTTTCAAATCTCACATAAACAGGGCACTCAGACACTGTTACAAAGGGACTGCGGAGATATGCCGCAGATCAATCTGCCTAAATCCCAGCACAGGCTCAGTGTACAGTGTGAGCAAGCATCATGCCATATAATTATGTTATATAGATAATGAGGGACTGAAATTCATTGTTCTGATGTCTCCAGCTGAGAGGTGCTCTTCACATGCAAGATATCCCCCTGCTCCTAGCTTTTGACAAACTGCTTGATATCAGTTTAAAAGAAACCGGGGATACTTTACCCATAGACTCCTATCCAGGGATGGCATATGAAATTTTGGGTCCCTTTACACACCTGTGAGTATTGTGGATGCAGTGTGTGTGTGTGTGTATAGTGGATGCAATGTGTGTGTGTAAGGGTTGCAGTGTGAGTATTGTGGATGCAGTGTGTGTGTATAGTGGATGCAATGTGTGTGTGTAAGGGATGCAGTGTGAGTATTGTGGATGCAGTGTGTGTGTAAGGGATGCAGTGTGTGTATAGTGGATGCAGTGTGTGTGTGTGTGTGTGTGTGTGTGTAAGGAATACAATATGTGCATTTTTATTTTGCGGATTTATTTGATGCTTCTCTCCTCCCTGCCTGTTTCCCGAGACCAGGGAGGGAGAACACTACATTCCCTAGTGGTCCAATGGTATTGTAGAGGTTCCCAGCTTCCACCTCCGCCATGTGTGCAGGCAGCAGGCTCTTCTTTTAACCCCCGGCACTATGTGGTATTGGAGCGTTGCCGTGATAACCTGCGGCAATGCTTTGATAGCAGGGGCTTGCGCACAAGAACCTGGCAGAGGTGGAAGAAGAGAGTCTCCCAGGTCCTCTCTTCACTACAGAAGCCAACAATGGCAGTGTGTGTGTGTGTGTGTGTGTATATATATATATTAGTGCCAAATGATGGCTGCTCACCAGTCTTTTAGAATTCCAATTCTTTATTTAATTCAAGTTAAAATCAGAGACCGACGTTTCAGTCCCAGTTTGGGACTTTCCTCAGGGTCAAACAGGACAACCAAGGTGGTCCTGTTTGACTCTGAGGAAAGTCCCGAGCCGGGACTGAAACGTCGGTCTCTGATTTTAACTTGGTTGTCCTGTTTGACCCTGAGGAAAGTCCCGAACCGGGACTGAAACGTCAGTCTCTGATTTTAACTTGGTTGTCCTGTTTGACCCTGAGGAAAGTCCCGAACCGGGACTGAAACGTCGGTCTCTGATTTTAACTTGAATTAAATAAAGAATTGGAATTTTTAAAAGACCGGTGAGCGGCTATCATTTGGCACAATGTATCTTTGGAGTCCAGGCCTTGGCACCTGGCAATTTTGAACCTACTAAGCGTGAGTGCGGGCGATATTGTTGTCTCTTTTTATATATACAGTTGTAAGAAAAAGTATGTGAACCCCTTTGGAATGATATGGATTTCTGCACAAATTGGTCATAAAATGTGATCTGATCATCATCTAAGTCACAACAATAGACAATCACAGTCTGCTTAAACTAATAACACACAAAGAATGAAATGTTGCCATGTTTTTATTGAACACACCATGTAAACATTCACAGTGCAGGTGGAAAAAGTATGTGAACCCCTAGACTAATGACATCTCCAAGAGCTAATTGGAGTGAGATGTCAGCCAACTGGAGTCCAATCAATGAGATGAGATTGGAGGTGTTGGTTACAGCTGCCCTGCCCTATAAAAAACACACACCAGTTCTGGGTTTGCTTTTCACAAGAAGCATTGCCTGATGTGAATGATGCCTCGCACAAAAGAGCTCTCAGAAGACCTACGATTAAGAATTGTTGACTTGCATAAAGCTGGAAAGGGTTATAAAAGTATCTCCAAAAGCCTTGCTGTTCATCAGTCCACGGTAAGACAAATTGTCTATAAATGGAGAAAGTTCAGCACTGCTGCTACTCTCCCTAGGAGTGGCTGTCCTGTAAAGATGACTGCAAGAGCACAGCGCAGATTGCTCAATGAGGTGAAGAAGAATCCTAGAGTGTCAGCTAAAGACTTACAAAGTCACTGGCAAATGCTAACATCCCTGTTAGCGAATCTACAATACGTAAAACACTAAACAAGAATGGATTTCATGGGAGGATACCACAGAGGAAGCCACTTCTGTCCACACAAAACATTGCTGCACGTTTACAGTTTGCACAAGAGCACCTGGATGTTCCACAGCAGTACTGGCAAAATATTTTTTTTTTTTTGAAAATCTTTTTATTGAGATTGGTCACTACGTAGAAAGCAGTGAGTGGGTAAACAATGTGAAACTCGCAGGTTTCTATAGTATATTAGTACACAAAATAGAATACAATGAGATATGCAAATCTCCACATAACTTCCCCTAGAGAGACTCGTAGGTCTTCATGCAGGGTGAGTATGCGGTCGACATTTTAAAAGCAATATAATTATACAACGAGGGGAAACAGTAGTATCATATAAAATGGAACGGCTGTAACAAACAGGTTGCTTCCCTTAGCCAATATGTGCGTAAAGGGTAAACGGGAGTTGCGTCGGGAGAGGTCGTTCTCAGCTATTTATGGCGGGAGCCACATAACACTGTGTTACCTGGTCTTTCAAACGGTTAATTGAAGTCATTGTATGAAAGGCAAGCCACTGGCTCCCGCTAGGTTCGGGCCCGTAGGTCCGTGCTGGTGTCGCTAGGTGTATCCTAGCACGCAAAAATAGTGGGAGTATTCCCAGTTCGTGGCTAGCATGCGTGAAGGCCAGCGTCGTTACCAATCCTCAGCCCCGAGACCCGGAGCCCATTAGTTAAGTGATTGCAAAGGTGAAGAAAGATATGGAAGGAATAGGTATAAAAGAAAGGGAGGTAGGGTGGGTTAGTCTGCGTCAAGTGGAACCAGCGTCTGCTGTCACTCCATTAGTGGGTTCTGGAGGAACTGCTCTTTGTCTGTATTGGGTAATGAATAGGAACCAAGGGAGCCACAGCTCCGTATGTTTCGTTTTACGGTCGGTCAGGGTGGCGTGAATGTCTTCCGCCCCATATATGTACTGGCAAAATATTCTGTGGACAGATGAAACCAAAGTTGAGTTGTTTGGAAGAAACACACAACACTATGTGTGGCGAAAAAAGGCACAGCACACCAACATCAAAACCTCATCCTAACTGTGAAGTATGGTGGTGGGGGCATCATGGTTTGGGGCTGCTTTGCTGCGTCAGGGCCTGGACAGATTGCTATCATCGAAGGAAAAATGAATTCCCAAGTTTATCAAGATATTTTGCAGGAAAACTTAAGGCCATCTGTCTACCAGCTGAAGCTCAACAGAAGATGGGTGTTGCAACAGGACAATGACCCAAAGCATAGAAGTAAATCAACAACAGAATTGCTTAAACAGAAGAAAAAACACCTTCTGAAGAGGCCCAGTCAGAGTCCTGACCTCAACCCGATTGAGATGCTGTGGCATGACCTCAAGAAAGCGATTCACACCAGACATCCCAAGAATATTGCTGAACTGAAACAGTTCTGTAAAGAGGAATGGTCAAGAATTTCTCCTGACCGTTGTGCACGTCTGATCTGCAACTACAGGAAACGTTTGGTTGAAGTTATTGCTGCCAAAGGAGGTTCAACCAGTTATTAAATCCAAGGCTTCACATACTTTTTCCACCTGCACTGTGAATGTTTACATGGTGTGTTCAATAAAAACATGGCAAGGGGCGGGGCCTGACTACCATGGAGGACAGACGTGCTCTGGCAGAGCTCCTCTGAAAACAGGGAGACTGATGCCACTTCTAGCCCAACTAAACCTATACTTGGAGAGGCCTAGCGCATGTCGGGCGGGAGAGGCGGCCGATCCGGCGCTGTGCGATGCCGACTCATTACAAGCAAGAGCCCCGTTACTCCCCCGCCTGGACCGACGGGGGTGATGGCGGTCCACCCCAGGGAAGCAGTCCTGGAATAGAGGGAGTCCAGGGAGATGCACAACCAAAACGCTTCCGACCCAGTGTGGCACCCATCATGGCAGACGCCACGTGTCTCCCCGACCCTGCTGATTCAAAGCTCTGCAACCTACTAGACACACTAATCGCTAACTTCTGGTGCGAGCTGGAGAGCAGGACACAGCCACTTACCTCACGGCGATCAAGCAGCCATCCACCTGAGAAGCAGCCTTTAACCCGGCAGCACGCTCAACAGATGCAGCACGTGGGACAGACCTCATCATGGCGGCGGACCACGCTGCTCACTCGACCCCAACACGGGAGGGTAAAACCCTATAGGAGACGAAGATGCAAGACACGCCAGAGAAACACAACAAACAAAAATGCCTCATTCACCTCACCTGATGGCGCCTGGGTCCGCAGAACAACGAAATCCTGCTCCTCAACGGCGCTGGACCCGACAAACAGACCGGCCTCTTCCACTGTCAATCCGGCGCAGAGATCTGAAATGCCTTGCTGTGATACAGAAGCAAAGGATAACCACGAAGGACATCAGAGACATGCAACACCAGCCTGAGCAACCAACTCTGTCAGGGACATTTTACTTCCCACCAACACACTCCTGGCTCTTCCCGAGCCTAGGAATCGGCTGACCGGTGACTTTCTGATGGGCATAGACCTGCTGTCTAATATTTAAGCTTCAAAAGTGTTTAGATAGCCACCATTAGCTCTGATTTATACTAATCTTCTTTTATATGCCATGCTCTTGTGTTTATGTTATAATTTATTTAATTTTTTCAGCGGTCATTGTGCAGGGACCAGTGATGAGGTGAACGTTAAGCTCTAGACCTAGCCTGTTCTCCGTCTCATATATTATATAATGCACAGTTCTCCATGCGTAAAGTGCTTCATACATATTGGAATTGTCTTTCCCCGGAATGTAGACACAGATGCTTAACTAAAACAAGTCCACACTAACCATCGACATCATACACGGATTAGCCACTATGCAGGAGAATGGTGCTGGGTGGTTACAGGCAGGGGCGAGCGTGGTTTGTTTGATTGTTTCTTTACAGTTTTTATAACAACTGGCAACCTACTCGGCAGCTAAACACTTGCACCATTAGGTACGCTGCCTATTGTTTTCAAGTAGACCCCCTAATATATCATAAACAAATGCAAATATTAAACAGCAACATAAAGTCCACAGCAAAAAAGTGGCTTTATTTAACGCTGTATTATTACACGTGTGCAAATAGCATCACCCTGAACACCCATCGTCATGTAATTATAGTCTGCTGTCTAAAAATGCTAATAACTATGCAGTGCATTATTATGATTCTTTTAATAGTTATTCAAACTAATATTCCTTGTTATTCTATGGGGCTGGTTTGTAAAAGCAGCTACATGAATCATAGTCACACATTTACATAGTAATATCGGCTGAACAAATACTCAAACCATCAAGTTCAATCTCACATCGTTTTCTGCTGTTGATCCAAAAAAGGCGAAAAACTATTTGAAGCAATTTCTGAATTTACCACAAAATTATTAAAAAGAGTTTTTGATCTCTGGTAGTCAAATTGCTCCTTGGATCAATAAACCATTATCCACATATTAACTATTATATCCTTGAACATTCTGATTTTCCATAAAGTTTCCTTATGTTTCATCAAGTCTAAATGGTGGAGACTGTGGTTTTATCTTTCATCCCCAGTAACACAGATAACAGATAAAACAGAATATGGGAGAAAATGTACCTGTATTTTACGTCTGTTATTGAATAAGATGATGACCAGTCGGGACCGATTTCCAAGACAGCTGGTCTAAGACTGGTCACTAAACATCCCAATAGATGTTCCTGATGAGTGGAATAAAATAAGATTCTTTTAAACAGTATATTTATTTTTCGCTTTGAATCTTATGGACAGAATGCTTATCTGTCACTTTATTAAAGTTATCCATAATCTGATTAGCCCAGAATTCCTATTAGAGCACTATGCCATGATTTTATTGCTACAGAACAGCTATCTATAAATTTAATGCTGAAAATGTTATATTCCCTGTTGCATAGTGATTTGATGGCACCAGCTAGTTTCTCGTTTCCAGTAATCTATATTACAGAAGCAGGCAATTTCATTCCCACATTTCTACTTATGATATTTTATTGCATCTAAAAATAGTGGTAAGTATAATATTGCATTATTTGTTAGAACTGTTGTGATATCTAAGGTTTATTCGCTAAACTAGGAATAGTGGCAAACCGAAAACAGAACTGCAAATATGTGATCAAAAGAGCCAAATTTGAAAAATAGATCTGCAAAAAGATTCCATTTCAGCAATGCTGGGCAAACCTTTACAATTCCCTCGTCAGGTGTTTAGAAAATAGTACATTTTGTAAAAATATTCTCTTCTATTCTAGCAGATCGTCTTAAGATGATTATTAAAACTCTAATCCATAATGACCAAATTGGTTTTATACCGGGCGGATGGGTAGGTTCTAATCCGAGGAGAATCATAGATATTATTGATAGTGCAAATAAGAAACATATCGCCCTTATGACTTTAGCAGTCAATCCAGAAAAAGCCTTCGATAGGCTGAACTGGAAGTTTTTGGAACTAACTCTAGAAGCCTACGGAATAGAAGGGTGGATGCTAAGAGGAATTATGGCACTATATAAAAATCCCTCAGCTGGAATAGTAGGTCCAAACGTCTGCTCAGATTGGGTATCAATAAAAAATGGGGTGCGTCAAGGCTGCCCACTCTCGCCATTGTTATATATACTCTCAATAGAACCCCTGGCGGAAAATATCAGGAAAAACACAGCAATAAAAGGATATAGGACAATAGATAAAGAATTTAAAATCAGTCTTTAGGCAGTCGATATTTTTTTGTCAATCACTGATCCAATAAGCTCTTTGAGCCATCTGATGGAGGAAGTTAGAGTATATAGTCAACTAGCTAATTATAAGTTAAATAATGAAAAAACAGTGGTGATGAGTATAGAATTAGATAAGAAGTCTAGAGAGGAGATTAGCAATAAATATGCATTCACATGGTCATCGCAGAAATTTGAATGCTTAGGAATATCTATTACTAAGAATTTAGAGAGAATGATGGAGGAAAATGTTCTAAAGCTATTAAAATCTACAAATTTATTACTTAGAGATTGGAGAAATATGCAGATTACTTGGTGGGGCCGTATTAATGTTATTAATTCCTATATTATTCCTAAATTGAATTATCTATTTCAAATGATTCCCCTTAAGATCTCAGATAGTTGGCTCACGCTATTACAAAATAATGTGGAAAATCTTATTAATAAGGGTAAGAAAAATAGAATTAATAGAAATATCTTATCTTTAAAAACTAAGGATTGGGGACTAAATTTCCCCAATATAAGATTTTTGTATTGGGCAAATGTGATCACTCATATTTATAGGTCCCAGACGGTAACAGCTAAAGAAGAGAGTTGGTTTAATATTGAAATGGAAGATCTAGCGTTAAAAAACGCAGATAGCATGATATGGAATACGAAAACTTTGGACAAAATGGGGATTGACATTAAAAATAGTAAGATCTGGGCCCAATTGATGCCCGTTTGGGAGGAAATTAAAAGAAAAATAGGCCTTAGGTATGCAATTTTAGATTCCTCAAATTTGAGGATAATAGAAGCTAATGTGAAAGATCTCTCTGGATAGTTGGAGAGTACAAGGAATAAACAAAGTGTCACAGATAGTACATCTAGACAAAATAATGACGTTCAACGCTATTTCACAAAAGTTCCAACTTCCCAAAGGTGAGACATTTACATATCTGAGACTTAAGTACTTCTTGCAGAAACATCTTATTATTGCGACCGAGAAACCTTTAAAACTGCTACAATCTATTTTCTCAAATGAGATTATTCCTAAAGTTTTAGCAAGCTATTCCAGATGTATCCAGGGGTCTCCTCTAGATGTTGGAGATGTGATAAAGAAGAGGGATCATTCCTCCATACATGGTGGAGTTGTTCATACATTCAGATTTTAATCAAACGAATGTTTAGATTCATTAAGGATATAACTGGAATATAACTTGATAGGAAACCAGAGGTGGCTTTGCTGCATATGCACTGTCCAAATATGTCAAATACAAATAGATGTTTTATAATACATTGTTTTATTGCATTTAAAATTTTTCTTGCACGGAACTGGAAATCTAATCTAGAAATTTCTTGGGATACTATTAGAGATCAAATTGGTGCCCAGGCGAGGATGGAAAGAGATCTGAGTGTACCATATTTGAATGCCCCACAAAGGCATGATCTCTGGCAAAGCTGGGTCAATAAAATGGAAACCAGTCTGTAAATTAAAGCTGCACCCGATATATAAAGATTCCTGAGCTCAGACAAATTCCCCCTCTTGCCCGACCCCGCAGATAATGATGTCTTATGTCAAGTATATTTGTTTGTTTGCTTAATATGTATCTAATGCAGCGATTACGTATTAACGGAGCACAATTTCTGTAGGTTTATTGTTATATGTATTTTTGTAACAAAATTAATAAAATAATATATACTAAAAAAAAAGAAAAGAAAATAGTAAATTTTTAGTAAATAAACCCCACTAAGTTATTTACTAAATTAACAGCTGGGTTGAGTGGACCCAAAACCTATCAAATGGTGACATAGTTGTTTAGGTTGAATAAAGACCAAAGCCCATCAAGTT